TTTTTTTTTTTTTTTCTTCATTTATCTTTTAGTCGTCTTTTTTGGGTGTTACAATGTCGGCAACTGTAACTCGAGATACAAATTGACCTAAGGAACAAAGGCAAAATCGTAGATAGGTACGATACCTTCGTCAGATACGTATCTCGGACGAAAGTGTCCCTGTGATTTTTAAAATCGGTCGATCTACAATCGGTGGAGATTTCTGTGCACCGATCTACGTTCGTCGATGGTCGGAAAGAAAAAAAAAGAAAAAAAAAATGAAAACTCGGTACGATAAACGCTAAAATAAACCTATACTTTCATTCGAAATGTTTGTCTACGTATTGGTAGTGTTCAACGAGGTTTATATCTATCAAACGTTAACCGATGGCTTGATACGTTTGTAATAGTTACTATCGTGACTCGTGCTAATCGATTCATATCACAACGATCCTAAAACGCTACACGAAACGTGGCACGAAACCATTGCTAAAGTCTCGATATTCTTTTTTTTTTCATGTAATTCGTCAATAATCCGATCAAGATCTAGGGTCTAATCGATCAAAGTCGTCGTAAAGTCATCGTGGCGCCATTGCAAATCGTTTCACTCATTGTCTGATAACGAGGAGAGAGGCTCCCTGGATTAATTGAATGTTTCGCGAAACGAACGGTCTCGTCGGTTCGCACAATTTCACACACCGTAGAAAAGATTTCGTGGCAGTACGACGATTGGTCACGAGAAATATTTACCAGGCAATGAGTCAACCGCTGCCCTACGCTTGGCAAACGAAAAAGAGCGTTCTTCTACTTTCCGGCGGCCATTTACACGCCGCGTTTAAAATAAGGCACCACATCCGACGCTGTTCACGCAATTGTTAATATTCCAGAGTGCAATCGAATCGGTGATCGGGGAAGGGCGAGGTTTAATTTGCCCGAAGAAGCCACTACAAAAGCTTAGAAACGTTATCGGTTACTGTTAACGCGGTCATAGTTACTCAACGCAAATCGCGTGGCGCACCCATTCATATTGACTTTATGTTTGAAATCGTA